TTTTCAAAGAGGATGCGAATCCTCCTTTTTTTGGGGGGTGGGTGGGTTGGTGGTGGTGGTGGTGGGGGGGGGGGGGGGGGGGGGGGGGGGGGGGGGGGGAGGGGAGGGGAGAGGACCATTTCTCGATCCATGAATGTCATCCTTGCGCAGGGCCCATGCTAATCTTCTCTCTCTGTATCGTTTCACTTTTAACGTATGTTCCAAAGGACAGAGGATGTGAATCTGAACAAACAAACAAACCAACAAACAGGAAAAAGGGAAAAGGATTCAAATCTCACTGGATATAACAAAGGACAAGGATGCAAATCTCACTGGATGTGACACATGGTGGGGACAGGGCATAAAAAAAAAGGCCATAAACCAAGAAGACAGGATGGCCCACCTCTCCTCTGGGAAAACTCACCAAAAAAAAAAAGGGAGGGGGGGGTGGGGGAAGAAAAATCAAGGTTGCTTGCCGTCAGGTCTTCTACAAAGAACACTCAGGGTGTCCTCACACTAGCTCTATCGCAAATGTATCTCTCTGTATTCGTGGCCAGACCTGGACGTATCTGGTCGTAATTATGTCCAGAAACGAGTAAAGAAAAATGCTAGTGTGCGTATGCCCACACTGACTCTTTCTGACATACACAGCAGAGCACAGAGAGCAGGCTATTTCCTCATCATTCGATGATTCAAATTCTTGTTTTTTGTTTTTGTTTTTGTTTTTGTTTTTTTTTTGCAACTTCATCCCTAAAAAATATTTTACTGTACCCAGTCCAATTTGAACTTGCCAAATCCCGATCTGTTTCCCAACAGACCCATTTTAAAGGGGGCATTGACCCCTCTACATTTATTCAATATTATTGTACCCCGCTAACTTTCCATTTAACTGTCTGATATAAATTACAGCACGACCCCGATGCATCTGACTGCAATCACATCCAGATTCACATCTATCATTTTCATATCTAACAGGGTATGCGCTTGCAAGGTCAAGAACCCATTGATTAACATTCCCAAGTACATGCACTTCCAGCTCAACAGTACCTTTGCAGGGTTTTTTTTTTCCTTTTTCTTTTTTTTTATTTAAATCAAACAGCCATTGTTGTATAGTAAAAGCTGGGAGCTTGAATTTTGAGGGGAAAAAAAAAGAAAAAGGAAAAAAGGATGGGAAGGGGGTCCAGCGTCCAGCTCATTGATACCTATTCATTGTCAGACAAACTTGTATAGGTTGACAGCAACCGATAAAGCCAATGCAAACCACAGAAAAAAAAAAAAAAAAAAACCTTGGGAGTTGAGGAGATGGAAACAAAGAACGCAAGACCAGGGACAGAGTCCCACTAGCAGCATTGAGTTTCCTCCACGCCTGAATCTGGACGTGTTTCTGGAGAAGTACAGTTGACGAAACTCAATGCGATTTTCTGCACATCTCCAGAATCACGTCCAGAAAACCGCACATCTCCAGAATCACGTCCAGATTCGGGCATTGAGGAAACACAACGCTGCTAGTGGGACTTGGCCCCAGGGTTCCAGGTTCCTCTTTTTTTTTTTTTTTTTTATGGTTCTCCTCATTCTTTTTGTTTTCTGACAAAATTTGAAACGAAACGATCGATGCTCCTATTTTCCCGATATGATGATTCACACATCTTCTTCTTTTTTCAAATGGCGATGATTCACACATCTTTTTTCTTTTTTTTTTTCAAATGGTTCTGAAAAAATCATAATCGTTGTGCGCATTTTGTTCCCCCCTCGACCAGCCCACTATTGAGACCACACACTACTCCTTAGTGAGTACGAATTAGCAAGTAAGAATATGCTGAATGCATCTTGCCCGTTTTCGCACATGGATGCATTTTCCAATTCTTACATTCGGCAAGCACTGCAACGAGGCTCAATACCATTTAAAATTTTAATTGGTGGAATATATCGTCATCATTCATTATCATTGTCCACCAATGCTCCACATTATCATTGTTCGAGACAAGATCTGAAGCGCGGACTCCGCAGACCAGCGAGTTAAGAGGAGAGACCTACAAAGCAGATGAGTGTGCAATGAACTTGCATCAAACAGCAGGTGTAGACTAACAGATAGGTTGGTTTGTACACATCAGCAGGTTTTCTTGCTGATTGAGCCCAGCAGGGCTTGTTCCCTCGACCTGTCATTTGCTGGGGGTTCCCTCTTGTCGGTAGGCTTAAGACCACACGGAGCCGTAGTTTTGCCATTTTGTGCTTTTTCCGCTGTAGGCCCGTAGGTCAGGGAGTCGAGAAGTAGAGGGCGGGCAGAAAACGGGATTCGGGACTCTTTTCATTTTTCACCTTGCTGGGGAAGCAGTGTCGGGGTTGGGAGATTGGGCGCAGCAGCGCTATTTGCGACTCAGCTCGACATCTTCTTCTTTGTGTGAAGGCCATACCTGGTCGCCGTCAGGGTTTGTTGAAGAGCGCCCTGAAGCAGGGCTTCATTGCAGCCAGCGTTTCGCCGTGCCTGCGTTGTTTGGCCTTGGGCGCTGGCAACGCTTTCGTTTGGCAGTCTACTTTTCGCCCCCCCCCGGCCCCCCCACGGCAGCCATAACTTTCTTCTCCGAAGTACTTGGATGGTCGTCTTCTTTCTTCATCAAGGATCTCTAGCGCTGCACTTCCATGCGGGCGCTGAGCTGGCACAACTATTTTGGGGTGGGGGGTGCTAGTTCAGATTGGCTCTGGGGTGATAGTTCGCGGGTTCTGTCGCTACAGCAGCCATGGCCAGGGTGACGAGGTGGCGGAGGAGGAAGACGAAGACTCCATGAAACTTCGTTGAACATCTGGTTTTGGTTGTTCGGGGTCGTTGACAAGACGGTTGTGATCCTTGAAATAAAAAAAGTACTCTTGATTGATTGGAGGAGGACGGGGGCAACTGAGAATCGAATTTTCACTTCAATTCTCCCTTGTGTACTGAGCTTTCTTTTGCTGCATATCTCACTCCGGTTTTGCGTGGAATTCCCTCCTTCAGGTCTACTCAGCAATCGCATGCGTGTATGGGAACGTGTGATTTCATTGTGGTTCCGTCGCGTACATAGCGACTGCGAACCAAAACCACCTTCACCAACATCATGCCGGACCGCCGGACCGCTAAAAACGGCATCCGGCATTTGCGACCATTCACACGCACGACTACAAACAACGATACCTGGTACTACACATCACATCGCGTCCATTGCTAAACATGTTCGAACGACAAAAAGAAAAACACGCGCAGCAGCTGAAAAAAAAAAAAAGGTTTAATGAACACTTCTCTGACAGCACGCCCAGTTGCAAACCGCGGGGATCGCCATGATCCAATCTGTTTTTTTCCACTAAATTTTTAAATCATAAAATTCTCCATTGCTCATCCATTTGAAGAGTAGAGGGCCTCCGGCAGTACGAAACCTGACCAAACGACAACAAAGATGGGCGTCTAAAAACGGAGCTGAAATTTTGGACGCGTTCAGACAACCACCTCCACAAATAACCACATATGATAAATTTTCGGCGCGTTCAGACACGCAGCTATATCATATTACATCACAAAATACGTTCACACAAGAACAAAGCTGCCGGGCCGCTAAAAACCATCATGTGTGGTATGTGCACCGTATTGCGAAACATGTTCACATGGGAATGAAGACGGCTAGCTAACAACAGCGTTTTCGAATTTTGCAACCATTCACACGCACCGCTACAAACGACAAAGTGTGTTTTTCAAAAAAAAACCTCTCTCTCTCTCTCTCACACACACACACACACACACACACACACACACACACACACACACACATTCCATCCGCAGGCCGTCATAAACCATCCATAGAACGAAAATGAAATGAAAAGAGGGGTAGATTTTGAAAATATAGTAGAAGATGCAACGTTGGCCACGTTTATGTGGTTAAGCGCCGAGTGCCCACACACCGATCTGCCACCGAAGCGGCACACTTGCACAAATATATATACATGAGGGTTCAGCCTCCTGATGAGTTGGTGAAACTCCGCCGAAACAGTTTGTCACAGCTGCTCGTTTGTTGTCCTCTTCTCCCACTCCGCCAACAGTTTACTGGGCAATTCTATATATCATCAAAACAGAACTGCCTACGGTAAACAGTAGGCAGAGAGGGAGGGAGAAGAGGACAACAAACGAGGGCCTGTGACAAACTGTTCCGTCATCGGAGTTTCACCTCCCTACTCATCCGGAGGCTGAACCCTCAAAAACAGTCTGCAGAATCCCCAAACTCATTACACTGCAAGTGATAATCCACCTCAACCGCGGCCGTAGTTAAGCATCAACGGCTGCCCAACAACTGATACCCTGAGGTGGTGGGGACCACCCACCACTGTCCTCAAGGTAGCTGTGACGAAAATCAAAGCAGATTACCACTCATCCACACCAGATGGAAAACTCTACAGATATATATATATTTTCACGTGAGGGTCTGTGTACGCATGACAATGCAAAACATGATAAAACTACAAGAAGACGGGCGGCTGAGGTCCAAATTAAATTTTGAAACAATTCATAGCAAGCGCTGGAAAACAACAATGTGGTGCACATACATACAGTGTGAAACGCATTTAGACTTCTTTAAATAATTCACATTTGTTTACTTGCTCATCGTATAGAGAATATGCAGTGAAACAAATGTGAACTATCTAATGTACGTGCATCGCATTTTCTCATACGATGAATCAATAGCACATAAGGTGTCTATCTATTGCAATGAATCAATAGCACATGAGGTGTCTATCTATAGCAATGAATCAATAGCACATATTGCTTTGAGCACTGAAAGCTGTCTCATGCTATTCGTAACTTCGAAAGTGTTTCCGTAACCAATTAAAGAAGTGCCCAGCATACATACTGCGAGATTGCTGAGCAACGATAGAGCTAGCTCAGCTGTAGACACTCTCGCATTGTACCGACCCATCAATCAATCGTTTTGCACCCTTATGCTCATGTAGGAAATGAAGCAAATCCATTATAGATCGGAAGAAGACATGGTGCGAGCTTGGCTCACCTACTGTCCGGAAGCGACTGCCGCGAGAAGTCAAAGTCTCGCAAAAAGTACTCGCGCGCCCGCTTTTTTTACAAGTCAGCAATGGTCCGGTGCACATGCCGCACAATCCAAGTCACAACAAAACACAAGCGCCTTGTCAGTTCCAAGACAGAGGCAGAGGCATTGGCATCAGAGAGGAATTATCATTTTCACCAAAACCATCACGACGCTGATGACATCCAAAGAGACTCTCCACTTTTGCGCCACTACACAGCATTCCCAATGTATCGCTCCAATGCATTCTGGTCCAGATTCAGTCACACTGATCGAACATTTTCAATCCAGTTTCCAGATAGGTTTCGAACGTTGTGTACTCGAGAATCTCGAACGTTGTGTGCTCGAGAGTCTCGAACGTTGTGTGCTCGAGAGGGACAAATTGCAAGTGGCCTACTGACACTGACGATAATTGATGCAAGTACTTAATTGCGCTTTTTATCTTTGACACCTTTCTTTACAGGCGTAGTTTCCTGCGTACGAACAAAATACTAAAAGGACGGGCACCCATGCAACCAGTCAAGATAACAAAATGGTTTCAAATTCCACAACACCCAGTCGAAAGATTTACGTCTTACGGAATCTTTCAAAGAAGAAGAAGAAGAAGAAGAAGAAGAGGAGAATTCCTCTTCTTCTTCTTCTTCTTCTTCTTCTTCTCCGCATCCTGACATCCTTTGTGAAGCTCCACATTAACTCATTTCCCATGGTGTTAGCAACAGGTTGCAGGAGCCGCATCCCATAACCAATTAGGCGAAGCCGGGTAATGGCCCCAATATCTCAAGTTTTTTTTTTCTATATATATGGGACACGGCGCCTGGTTACCAGCATGTGCTGCTCCCCACAAATAGATTGGAGCATTCCAGCATGTGTTGCTCCCCACGAATAGATTGTCCGCAATTGTTCACAAATATTTTGGTCATCGTCAAGAAACGTGTTCGTTAATTCTTCTGTAGATTTTGTGTGGAGTTTCTTAGTTGGTCTGAGGGTTTTTCCAAAGTTGAGCAGTTTTTTAACAATCATAGTTGGTATCAGCTTTTCTCCGCCCATCCTAACATCCATACTGCTATCCATGCAGAACGGAAAACAATAGTGAACTGGAACAAGGATCTCGGGTAGGTTGCGCTAGCGATATCCCCCTCAGGGAAAGGATTCGCGCTGCAGACACCCAGTCCCGGTCCCAAGGTCCGAAAAGTCCAAAGTCCCAGGACTGTCCGAAGGGTAGGCCGTAGGACTCTAAGGTCGAATTGTCGAAGGTCTGTAGCTGGCGGTACCGAAGCGTCGTAGTTAGGTAGGGGTCTAGCCGGTACCAGACAAGAAATGTCCAGAAGCGCCCAGTCCAGTCAACGAGCGTCCAGAACAGTCCGACAGTCCCCAAGTCCAACTTTGCAGCATGTCCCAGGAAAGTCGGGAAGGTACCGGACCGAAAAAATGTTTGCAGCAGACAGGCCGCGGCTGACCGGTACCGGTCTAAAGCAGGCCAAGCCAAGACAAGACGAGAGAAGCAAAGACAAGTCCTATATTTAACTGCTACAGTGCAGCGACTCATCACTTGTTCAGCTGCCTAGTTGCTACCCTAGACGGACCTACAAACATACACGAAACTTTCCCACGCACGGGATTAGGGTCCGACTGGCTACCTATGGCCCCAGGTGGGCCGGCAACCTCACTTGTCCTTCGCTGCCGGCATGCTCTTCTCCTGTCTCACGAATCCGCAATAAGCTGAATGGTCCAGAATACATAACCAAATCGAGCCCGGTATCAAAAATAAAGAATAGCTATATCCTACCGACGGGCCTACATCAGTCGGTACATCCATAAACTGTTGAAATGCAGACCTGAGTTCAAGTCCCTAGATGAAGAGAACAAAATAATTCCGAATCGCCTGGGGCCGGTCAGCATGCGATAATAACGTCTCAGGACCGTCACGCTTTATATATATATTGTCACATGATATCAGAGCACCAAAGCGAAAAACAGAAAAAAAAACAAGGAAAACAAGAAAAACTTAATTCATTTTTAATCTTCTTCCTTACAAGACTCCCCCTGTTCAGAACCTCTTGCGTACAAGGCCGCCCACGTGGATGTAGGTTGAGCAGCGGCTGCCCCCAACCCCGTGTGTCATATCGACCCACTTGCACACAGCCAAAAGGCAAAGAGGCAAAGAAAAGAGGAAGGGAACAGCCAAATAATACAGAACAGGGGGCAACAAAACAGATCCCAGATGACAAGTCCCGCATGCAAGCACCGCCCCTGCCCACAGGCCAAACGACGGGACAAGACCAACCAGGATGTCAAACATTCTTGTCTGCAAAAAAATCACAAAGAACCCGGAGGACCGGTATAAAAAACAATCCCGGATGACGATTCCCACATGCAAGCACCGCCCCGCTTTCCAAAAGGCCGAACAACGGGGAACAACCAACCGGGATGCCAAAACAATAAAAAGGCCGGATGACTGGTCCCACATAAAGCACCGCTACCTGCTGACTGAATAGACCGAATAACGGGACAAAACCAACCGGGATGCAGACAAGATTACCAGAACAAAACAAAATACCCCAACAACGGGGACGGTCGGCAGCCCTTGACTGGTCAGCAGCTACCGGTCTGGGGTTCTTACGCACCCCCCCCCAAAAAAAAGGAAAAAAAACAGGGTCCAGAACCCCTAATAACCCCACCAACACCCCCATGGCAGCCCCCCAACACCCCCAAGCCGCCCCCAACATCCTCATTACCCCCCCCCCAATACCCCCTATCCCACTCCTATACCCCCTAATACCCCCCTATACCCCCCCTCCAACCCCATGGCGGCCCCCAATACCCCCATGGCATCTCGACAGGCGCCATGTCCAGATGCATTCAAAACTTTGGCGGTGCGCAAGTGGTGCGACTACGCCCAAGGTTTTGAATGCATCTGGACGGATGCCATGTCCATCAAAACTTTGGGCAGGGGGCGAGTGCTGCGACTACGCCCAAGATTTTTGAATGCATCTGGACGGACACCATGTCCCGATGCGTTCAAAACTTCGGCCAGTGCTCTATCTAACCCCAATAGCCTACAGGTCGCAGCAACCAAATTTCAATTACCACTTACAAAAAACATTACCAATCCTACGTCATGCTGCGCGCCGGGGAGAGGAGACAAAACACACACACACACACACACACACAAACTACCGTCTTCACCCTAACACAATGCACCCTTATTTTGGCAGTATCTGGCCGGAAATATAGCTTGTATACATTCATTTATAGGGTGCATTATGTTCGGGGAAGACGGTAGTGCAGGTGCGATTTGTGTTTTCGCATTGCCTGTGCCTGTGCCAGCCATTTTTGTCCGGTACCCTGGAACCCCCCGGAGAGTTTCGGACGTATGCTAACTCACCCCTTTTTTCTTTGGTGAGGCCCAGAGTCGTGGGCCTTAACCTCCAGTACACCCGGGCCTGGCGGCACAGCCAGTTTGGTCCGGTACACCCTGGGAACACACACCAAGCTCTGCAGAACAGCCAGCGGCGCACTTTTTTTCTTTCTTGGCTCGCGCCACCGGACATTATGGTCCGGTAGCCACGAGCCTCCAAAATATTAAGGAAAAGGCGATGAAGAAATTGTGCAAGGCTGGCGCCATGTACTGGCAATTTTAAACCACCAGTACCTACCACGTGTTTACGCGTTAACGCAGAGGACGAATCTGTGCGCTGCGCGGGTCCATATGCATTTGCATCAGAGGGGACCTAAGACCGCCTGGGGTACTCGCAGTTTTAACAACAGGTTGCAGGACCTATATATTTGAGACTAATCACGGTTTGAGCCACACATCGCCTACCTCGTTTCCACCTTCTTGCAAATTGCGCACTTCCTCCGCTGTGAATGTGGCCATCGATACCGACTTAATCCGATGAGTGAACTCTCGACTGTGTTGGAACCAAGTGAGAAGCAACAAACA